TGTTGACAACCTTTTGAAAATTGGGCTCCGGCCACCTCACTCATCAGACGAAATGCGAAAGTTTTATACTTTACGCCGGTCTTCTGTGAGGTCGTGGTACTTATCCGGACGAGCCTGCCCATTCGTGCAACAGCCGAGGCTGCTGCGTGGCTCTACCACCGTTAAATACTAATAATACCATAGCTTACAACTTTGTGAAGCTAAGGTTTGGCAGCACATGCAATCTTCTTGTCCTCGGTATCCCAATATGAGATTATTCCCTTGACCACATTCGATTTAGAGCTGCCAAGTTCTCCCGGTTTGATGACCCTTGGCTTAGGGAGACGTGTCATCACTACAAATTTTGACACGGGGAATGTTTTGACTAACTCTGCTACTAAACGACTAAGGGCGCCTCTTATGAGTTTTCTACCGCTCTTCGTACCGCTTACAGTTCTTAGAATTAGTCGGTTTTCCGTGTATCTAACACTAACTTTGGCAAATTCAAGAAGAGCATATTTTTATCTTAAAAAAAGAATCCCGTTTATAACTCTTCGGTGTTGCAAGTGTCCACGGGTGCGGTGAGATGTCGTGAAACTGCTTGATGCGTGAGATGCTTTTAAGGAGCGCTGTCAACTCGTTTTTTTACCTATTCTAAAAATATTGTTAAAATTACGGGTAGTATAAAGAAACTGGACCTGAGTATATGAACGAGTGAAAAAGGTAACTATGAAAACTTTACGTAAAGGGAATCGGTGTATAAACATATGTTTATTAAACATATATTAACATAACATGTTAGCTATACTTTGTTTTATCGAGCTAAGAAGGAAGAGATATAAATACTTTTACCAAATCACCATAGTTTCACTTTGCACAACAATAACACTGGTATAAATACTTATTTTATCACTTTAATATCACTAATGAAACACAACTCTTTAATCTGTGATACCGATTGGGCAGTACTATCGCGTATACTTCTTGTTGACAGCCGAAGAAGACAAAGACGACGAAGACCACCATGAAATGCTTCATGCAGCTACATTTATACCTCATAGAATGAAACTTCTTTTAGTGTTGCCAACAACTTCAAGGAACGACTTCCTTTAGTGTTGCCAACAAACATAAATATATGTTTATGTTAAAATGTGAAGTCTACCATAATGCTAACCTACATACTAAAAACGGTCGCTTGCTTAGACATACTTTCTCTCACGATTTGGGCTAATAGGAAAGCGCTACACAGCTTGGTTCTTCCGTGAAATAGAAATTGGTGGTTCCAGGGAAAATATGATATTCGCCTCGGTTTTGTCCACTACGAATATCACCTTTTAAGTTATTAAATATCCATGCTTTCTAATTTCTTAACCACCAGCGTGCATCTCGTGGATGACAATATCCTGGTCTACAAACAAATGGAAGATAAACAAAAAGTTTTACACAGCTTCTGAGGATTTTCAAACTCTCTACATATCTGCTTAACACTTGTGATAAAGCTGCACGGTTTAATGATCCACAAAATTCCGATCACGTTTTGCGCTTCGCTAGTAACTCAGGAGTAGCATACGACTAGATGGCGCGGTCGCAAAGCTATTGACTTCTTCAACGGTGGTCGTGGGTTCGATTCCCACACGGGACAAGTATTTGTATTGTTAACAGCCAATTGTTCTGGATCTGGGCATTTGTTAACAAAGGGGAAAGATTTCAGGAAGGCGGTCATTGACAAGATGATAAGTATCGGTCGACCCTACGTAGTTACGATATGGGCAGGCCAGTAGAAAGAAGTAGTTACATACGAAAAGTGTTAGTTTAATGAAAATACTTTACTTGACCGTTCTTGATTGTACCAATTTCTATCATAGATCCACATGTTTATTATTATGAAAGAGGCTGTGACATTTGTGAATCACATCTTGTGCTACAAATATGTTCACGAATAAGAGTGAATATAGTTAGTTACGCCCGGTATCTGATACACTGATCATCGTTGAAATTAACTAATCAGATGTTAAATGGCTTCTCAAATGTCATTTGAGTTGCCAAAAGGATGTTTAAATAAGTAAAAGTGGATCAGAACGATCTGAATGATCAATTCAAAAAGTTTATCAGTATGATAATCAATGATCAGTATATCAGAAACCGGGTATTAGTCTCACTCAAGAGATGTATGCGTGTAATATGAAGTACCAACCACGTTTCACTATCCTTGCACAGCTCTTTTTTCGGTGAATATGACGGGTAATTTTTACGCCGCCCTACTGCAGTACATCACCACTTTTGTCGATACATGCTGGACCAGATCTTTTCTCGTCTTATTTTAAATCATGGTTTACAAACCATGATTTCTCAAAGTTAGTTTTAACGCAATCATCCTTTTTATCCAATGTGATAAGACCAACCGGAGTCTTCATTGTAATATTCCTTACAACACACTCTTATAACGTAGAGCTCTTCTTGTGCCAATAAAATAAAGGTGCAAAAGAAAGTCGAAATTTCTGTTAGTCATACATATACAGTTATCGTTTATCGTTTGTCATATTCTAAACAAAACATAATCATTTACTCGAAGCTTTGGTGAATTATTTACTTGCCATGGTTATATATTAAACAATTCGCTGGAAACGAAGTAAAAGTACAAAGACTTCTTTTTATGTCGCCATTGCTAGTGACGACGATCTCTTCCTTGGTCAAGTGGACCCATCAGCTAAAGTATATCTCCACCACGACGTAAACAAATAAATCTCAAGGAAAAAAAATCGACTACATTGATTAAGGTTTCGTTAGGAATAACAGCGACCACTAGTGCAACCTGTAGCAGTGCTACCTCTCTTCGATCGCTCGCTTTAACACCTCGAACGATAAATCATTGGCGACGTTAATGCGGGCGCGTTAGAAACGGGCGGGGCGGCGGCTCACGACCGCGCCGTTTACGCAACGGCCCGCGCACGACTCATCTGCAATTAAAGAGCGCGCGGGGCGCGTCTGCCGGCGGCGCGCGCCTCAAGCGCCGGCGATCGAGCGATTTTAGCGTTAAACGGAAACGAATAGCGTTGTATCGTTTGTGACCACTGCCGAATGACTCCCGGAGAGTTTAATACAAAGCACCGTCTTGATCGATATGTATCCACCCGCAATATTTTCAAAGTCCATATTGAAGGTTAACCTAGAGTATTTCCATCACATTTTTTATTTGCAAGCTGCAAGGAACTACCCGGACAGACTTCTTCTTTTTTTTAATACTATTAAAACCTTCCGCGGACCATAAGGAACATACAAAAAAAAAATTGCCAAATTGGTCTAGCCATTCTTGAGTTATGCGCTTACTTTAATTTTATATATTAAGAAGAAGATTGCGTCTAAAATGAAAAAAAAAAGTGTTTTTTTTTTACATAAAATAGGCTCTCATACAATCATAAAGCAATTTTAATTGATTTCATGATATTGTTAATGCAATCATTTTTCAATTACATTCTTCTTTTTCCATTACATTCTTGCTACGCATTGCTCGCACTGTTTGCGTCAGGTGAAGCTTTAATAGTCTCGGGACTGAAAGCAAAAACATCAGTTAATACAAGATAACGCACTGTTGCATAAGCCTTTGACAAATTCTCATAACCCATTTAAAAGTACATCCAAAATTTTCATGGTATTCTGCAATGTTATCTACAGTGGGTATCCTATATTAGTCCCATCTTGAGAGTTGTTTAGTAAAATAAACTATTCGAATTTTGTTGAAGATTTTTAAATCTTAAATGATTAAATCATTTGAAATAGAAAATAATGATAGGTTTTCACTGACTTCTTGCATTCAGCCTTATAATCATAATTTGGAATAGTGGTCATGCACCATCCATTCAAAGGAAAGAAGTATTGAACTTATTAAATGAAACTATTTTACGTATTATAGGTATCGCGTTTTAATTTTGATTTTAAATTTCCCACGTTTCGAACCCTTTCCAGCGTTCATGGTCACAGGACAGACTGGACTATCATAATAAAATAAAATTTCGAAAATTTTCACGGACCCATCTTGCACTCTTCCCACACCTTTAGCCATCACATTGCATGATCACACGACGGGCGTGCTAGCTCTCACACGAAGGCTCAAGTGCTGTGGCCCATCTCAACATAAATAGCAGATTTCGGAATTAACATTTACGTAACAAGGTGCTTAAAAAGCTGTTCAATCGAAAGTGATAGCTTGCGAAATAGATAATCACTATCCATACGATATGGATACATATGTACCTTATCTCCTGACCTTCTCCCAGCTGGGTTGGGTTGCCACAACGTAATTGTGACTCATATATACCCCCAATATCAAAATAACCCCATCTCTAGTGTGTTCCTTGTACTACAAACTTACAACCATTGATGAATCAGTAGATATAGTCCATCAGAAGCTGAGTGCATTCAATCGAAGTATTCGAGGCACATAATGTTTTTATTTTTTTTTTACTTTTTATTTAGTTACTTTCAAATACCTATTTGTCTTTTGGTTTTTTAAATTTATAACTTAATATTGTTTAATTATATCGAAGCATGTAGTGTACATATATTTTTGGCGGACAGTGTGTATAAGTTGCGATTATTAAGATTATTGTACTGTTTGCGTATATATATATAGACTTATCTCACAGGGAGATATGTAAGCTGTTACGTAACTTTATTTAAAAAAATACATTTCATTTGACATTAAGCGAAAGGATCGCATTTTTTCAACCGACTTCAAAAAAGGAGGAGATTATCAATTCGACTATTTTTTTTTTTCGATTATTCTTTTTTATTTAAAAGCTGGTGCTTCCCATGTGGTGCCATATTAATTTTATTAGTATTGGATCTTGGGCTTCTGAGATACTTCGTGAACTCCTGAAAATCAATTATAAAATGAATACAGGGCGAGATATTTGGAAGTCGGTTTTGTTTTTCGTTAGTAAAACAATGGACTTCTCTGACATATTTTCTGGTCTTAACGAGATATTGCTTAGCTCTCTTTTAATAAGCTTTCATTGTTTCAGGCTTGCGAACCACCCGTCCAGTTGGAGCCGGTGGATTTGAGCCTGAAAAGACCCCCAACGCCTCGACGCCGGCCTCGCACTCTGGGTAAGTCATAAAGCCGTATCACTACATAGAATGAAACAAAGTTGTCGCGCTGTCTGTCTGTCCCTATGTATGCTTAGACCGTTAAAACTACGTAACGGATCTTGATGCGGGTTTTTTTACTAGATGGAGTGATTCAAGAGGAAGGTTTGTATAGCATTGCAACCGTGCGAAGCCGGGGCGGGTCGCTAGTAAAGTATATGTGGTTATTGCGCTATGTATTATGGAAATTGGTGACGACAAAATCTGATGGACGATCACAACTTGCGAAATGTTTTTTTAAAGTATCTCTTGCGTGGATAAAATATAGAGACGTATTTATTTTGGATATTAAGTTTTCGGCGTATGATCCAACAAAGGGATTGGTAAAAGCTTTATGTATAAGAATATTATTAAAGTATCAATGTGAAAAATGGCTTTTCTTTCTAAGGTAGCAGATATCTATCGTAATATATAAACAGAAATACGTATTTAAGTCAACTCGTTGAGTTGACTTGAACAGTCTTGGTCTATTAACAGCTTATTACGTGGAGCTGTAATTGCACGCTTCGTTTATAGCTTTTATCTACGAATGCCTTCTAATTGTGGTCAGTGTTTTGTACAATTCAGATTACAATGTTTGTCTGGAGAAAATCGCATTTCAGAGCGATAAGCACATACATTTTACACTATTTAGTATTATATGCCTAATAGATCGATGGATAGATTAACAGTATATTCACTGCAGCTGGATTTTTAACCGGTCCATTAGTACGCCCACGCCGCTTAGGTCGCTTGTACCCAAAGAATCTCTAACGCTCAATCTTACCCCGGACACGTGGAGCGGGAGGCGCGAAATCTGCCTGTTCGCTTTGTCCGGTCTACGCTGCCACTCAGATCCTGTACTGCATCCGCATCGCCTTGTCGACCTCGACTTTTCATGACCGCCTTTATAGCGCTCGTGTGAAACCCATTATTGTATGCGTACGCACTGACGGGCTCAATTTCCACGGCGCGCAAACGTTGCCCAGACGAATGATATTATATACAAATACGTGGTAGATATGACACTAGCGCATCCAAACCGAGGTAATCAAATTACGGCAATTGGTTTAATTAGACTGCATATCCATAATCTGCTATCTCTTTCCGTATCATACGTTATATACCATCTGTCACATTCACTTGTATATCTCATAGAATTTGGAGCGGAACATGTGTGGACATGCGTCATCTTATCCTTTAAACGAGCAATTCTTGTATATATATATATATATATAATCGGAATCTCGAAATCGGCGAAAAATTGATCTAGCTAGGTTTCATTTTTAGAAAATGTCCTGAATAAAAATATCTGATCATTTTCTTTATTTTTATTTCCAAAATACATGATTTACCGGAAAAAAAACCGGTCCTCCAGGTACTCTCTATATTATCTAGCCTACATAAGTATCAACAATATTAACGCCACACATTGGCGTCGTCGCCGTATCCTATAGTACAGTCTGCGGCTAGGCTTTGCAAAGCTGAAGCAGCATTCACCGTTTCACAATTGGGCCGGATCGCCGCGGCGCGGGAATATCGCGTGGGTTATCACGGCCAGTTGTATAACAGTTCCTTACACCGGCCGCGGTCGGTCCTATCCCTCGTTAATTAACGCAAAGACGCACCGGTGAAAGGGATCACGTCCCGCTATCGCAGGGCCGTCGCGGGCGCGTGTGGACCTCCGACAATCCAGCGAATGTCTGCCGATTGACAGATAACAGATAACATAACAGATAACATTAATACATAACAGGTCTGAGCCAGTACGGAGGTTGTTGTAAAAAAACTGAAGGCCTTTTTTTTCGTGGGAAAAATCCTTTCTGGATCCCCTGCCACTGGATCGGGGGACGGGCAGGGGTATGGGGGAGTCCCAACGGGTACCCACTAAAAATCGACGTTGCACCTGTCTCTGTCGCACCGGCCTGGGAGACGGGAACACGTAGACACAATCTTCCGTGACCCCGGCGTGACTGTGGACTTTTTGGACCTCCTCTTCTAAATGGTGCTGTGCCGGTACAATTAGCACAGCACCCCTCACGAGCCCCATGTCGAGTGACAGACAGCCATACCTGCCGCTCGGGGTCTCCAAAAGACTTAGGCCTGAGCATTCGTGCAACAGACAAATACTGTTGCGTTGCCTTACCACCTATAAAGTATACACAAATTGTAGTTGTGTTGCCCGTTTAACATACTGCAGTGAAGATCACAATTTGGCCAATAATTAAACGTTTGCGGCGCGGGCTCTTCGCAATTTGTCTAATGACATTAAATACCGGTAACACAGCGTATAGTGCGAGCCCTTGTTAAGCCACGAATACACACGGCGACACGCACCGGCTAGACTCAGCTCCGAGCTCGCCTTTCGAATTACAACGAACAAGCCTTGTATACGTAAGCCACTCTGATTTTGCACCGACGATTAATACAACTTTATTTTATGTTCGCCCGAGAGTGAGGAGATAAGGCTACCAGCGAAATTTACATTTATCGCGTCCCAGTAACATCGCCCGCTGTGAATGGTCGTGCGTTGTTGGCTGTTAATAGAAAATAGAGAGAAGCCTTTTCGTTTGTGTGAACAGAAGCGCAGAAAAAATTGTACGATATGACAGCACATATAAAACATATATTACTGTTAATATGTTGCAGAAGTGTAAATTTTGCACAAGAATAGTTAAAAGTACTCCGGGACCGTCTTCGCCTCAGTGCGAAAACATGAAGCACCAGTTTATATAAAAGTAAAAATATATTTTTATGGAAACGAGTAGTAGTAGTAACCTATAACGGAAAAATTACTACGTACAGAATTGTTCATAGTCAAAGTAATCGGCATACTAACTTGACGATTTTCTTTAAATGTCATTAAAACTTAAGGAAGATTAAAAAAGTTTTTATATAGAGGTTTTTTTTTAAAAAACCGGCAAGTGCTTGACTGCCATCTCCCTGGATAGTAGATGGATGGTAAGATGATAAGTTATCATTTGTGGCAAGTGAATTTGCACCTTGTTGAATAGTACCTTGATGATTTGGAACCAAGTTGAGATTTAAACCAACTTTCTGCAAATGTTCTGGTATAATGTTTAAAGTGTGCAATCTACCTTACGCATGTGCGCTGTGCTCCTAGGGCTTGTTACTCTCTCTTGTCCTGTTTATCTCGATAACTGGGTCGATGTTACGGGTACCATTAATTGGTAATTACCACCGGTACTGCCAGTATCTTATGGCTATAGGCTCAGTGGTTAGTGCCCTGCTCGAATTAGGCCCTACAGTCTAATAGTTATTTTAACGGAATGCAGATTATATGATATTTTCCAGTTTTCTAGTTCACAGTCTAAAAATTATTGTTACTGAATGCAGATAATTTATTTACGTAATTTTTGGCAAGAGTGTCTTGTTGTGCTTTCTTGGGTTATGTCGCTATAATGTCGTGTAGAGGAAGTCATGAGTAATTTTTATGTGAAAAGGTGGTAAGCGAGCTGGCGATTCACCTGATGTTAAATGATAGCTGCCACCCATGGGCATCTGCAACACGCGTGGGGTTTCAGACCGTTAGCAACGTGCTAAATTATAATAAAGTGGATGAGTAGAGACTCACGAATGATGATTTTATGGGATAACTACTAACCTGTAACATGTGTTCCATATACAGTAGAATCAGATATCGCCGATGCCAAAGTCGGTCAGGGGGGCATATCAAAAGTAATATTTTGCTGTAGCATTGCTTACAAGGCGAAGGATTCCTTTATAAGGTATTTTATTAGCCAGCTGTTATTACCGATACGACGAAATTAAAAAGCAATGAAAAGATCCGAAATCATATTTTATACATCGGTTCTTCCATTTAACTTATCCGGCAACACGCAAACGTGTTTACCGAGAAGGAAACCTTTAAAAACTTATGTTACTCATAGTTAAATACTTTATGGTAACATTCTCAGAGATTTTACGATTTAAAAATTGTCGTTTTATGTCGTGGAAATACCCGAGGCACAGAAAATCATCGATAATCCCTTGTTTCTCGTACCCACCCAGTAAATACTTTATTAATTTATTGTTATATATTACATGGTAGTTATTTGATAATAGTCAAAGAATAATTTAACAATAATGTAATTAAGTAATAGTCTCAATTTCTGAATTAGTATGTTTGAGACGTACATTTATGTTCATGCAAAGATAATAGCTACTAGCTAAGTTCTCTACGAATCTGGCAACTAAATAAGTTTTTGTATAAGAAAAGGTAACAAACAAAGAAGCATTCAAGTTGCCTGATTTTAAATGATAACCGCCTCCACCACTTCGTCCTGTTGAAATAATTATATTCAAAACTACTTTAGAAATTCCAATCAGTACGTATCATCGCTTAAACACAGCTTGTCTCGCGTGTAACTTTTTGTATAGTAACGTAGTTTTTGCGAGCGCATGTGCGCTCATCGCCAACCCTCTTTCTATGAGTGACGTGAAGATTTGAGCAGTCATGCGCGTGGTCGCGAGGAGGAAAATTTCTCACTCGGCCGCATGTGTTCTTGTTTTGTTGTCATTGAATAAAAAAAGTTACAATATTATCAAGAAATACACAGTCCTTACTCCGTAGTTACACATCTAGTCAAGAATTAGAAAATTACCACAATATACTTTAATTATATCACAATGTTAATTTTATTGTTATATTTAACTGTAGTAGTGCCACGCAAAAGATTTTTGCTGCCTACTGTTGCACGAATGGGCAGGACCGTCCGGGTAATTATCACGACCTCACAGAAGACCGGCGTAAAGTAGAAGACACTTCTGCGTTTCGTGAGGTAGCTGGGGCCCACTTTATTTAAAAATGGCAACGCATTTGCAACCTGATGAACCAGTTCAGATGATGTTAAGTGAATACCACCGCCCATAGACATCTGCTACACCCGAGGGTTACATATGCGTTGACAACCTTTTGAAAATTGGGCTCCTGCTACCTCACTCACCAGCCGAAACGCGAA